ACTAAAGGCATAAAAACCTTAACCGGAAGATAAGAACAACATAATTCAATCATTTTTAAAGCAAAAAATGTACAATTTACAAACATATAAGAATAAAGAAACTGAGATCACTGAGCCGGGTAACAGAGTGGATATATATATAAATATATTTATATACGTTTGGTGCGGCCGATTGCAACCAAAATACGAGGTGCACATCTACATATTATAGCAGTCCTATATACGTACAAGCGTTTTATTTGATTTCCAAAAAGTGTAAATATTTACAACTAACCCCCTCTATTTGTTAGCAATAAATTCAGACTGGAAAATTACATCAGGAGATCCTTCTACAAAATGGTCTAAAAACTGGTGCCATTAATATATTAATATTATGGCTGTAAATATATATATATGTACGTATATGTTTATATATATATATGTACGTAAGCACGAACGTACGTACGTACATATGTTCGTACAGACGCCACGAAAAATTCTCTTCAGAATTAATTTTAAAGCAGTTTTATAATTTTTTTGAAGGAAAAGAGTATTTTATTCTGTCCTTACGTACAGATATCACGCAAAACCATCGTTAAATTGCATTCGATAGCGGTCAAAATGGATATTTTCGTTGAAATATGCTGCCTGAAACTTTTCGCGATTACAATACTTCCTTTTTACTTCGTACAAGGAAGTAAAAAAAAAGGATTAGGAGGAGTAAGTTTAAGAGCAGATATATTAGTATATATCTAAATAGATATATCTAAATATATATATTAGCTCGAATTAATTTTTCTTACATGCATGAAGAATTTCTTCAGCTATAAACTTATCAGAAAATGTTCAGTCTTGTTATGTGTCCTTGTGATCTTTAATAGTTTCTGAAATGTTTCTGAAAAATAAACTGTGTTATCAAATATAAAATTTTCTGCATTAGTTACTGTAACAACGATATGTATTTTAACCACGGACGAATCAATGGATTTATAGCTGAATCGTTCAAAATCAATTTTTTGTAACCATCACATATTCTTTTAGCTTCAACATGCATGAAAAATAGCATTTCAAATTTTAAATGGAATTTAAATTAGTTTTTAAAAGAAAAAAATCGCGAAAAAAATGATGTTCCTTTTTTTGTGTTGATAAAAACACCCACAGCTTTTAAAAGTTTAACAACGGTGTACGTAGAATTTGTTAAATAAAGAGATTAAATTAGAAATATATTAAATAGGAAAACATGACAAGTGAAATGCGTGAAGCAGAAGAATATGAGAAACAAAAATAGCTTATAAATACATTATAACGAAGCCAAAATACATCTTTAACAAAAGCATTCTATATTTAAAAACAAAACACAAATATATTTCGTCTGAAACAAAAGAATTTTTTAAATGCATATGAAGTTAAACAAGCGCACGGAAAATGACAAACATTGATCAAAAGTTTCAAAAAATTACAGTTTTTTGTAATGTTTTTTAGTTGTTGAAAATATAAAGAAAAAAAGAATATTGTAAACTCGAACTAAAAGCAAATTTTAACCTCTTAGCTTCAGAAAAAAAAATATTACTGCCGCCATCTAGCGGTTATTTAGTGTACTATTACCTTAAGCCTAACCATTCGCTTTTATGCGTACGGTCATTTCATGTCGAACTAGCACTAAAACGAAGCATAAAAGTACAAAAGGACCATCCTTCATATAAAATTTCCCAGAGAATCCAAAACAACATTTTATAGCCAATGAGAGGCGCTGTAGACGTCGAAATAGCGAAGAGAATGATCCAGAAAACGAGCAGATGTTCTTCGGTTTTTTTTTCTTTGGCCTTCCAACATCCATTTAAAAGTGGATAGAATTTTTATTTTATGGAGCTCTTCGGGCAATATTTGTTTTATCAAGTTCATACCGCTTAGATGTATGTTTTAAATTCCTGCATGAAATTGTCAGGTTTAATAAAGATGTGGCTATTGCTTCTGGCGTTATTATGACATGAGCTAAAATTTTGAAGGAGATATAAACACATTTTATTGGCTACTTTTAGATTTGTAATGTACGTTTACTTTCCATGTCTTCTGCAACAGCTAAGCGGTAACTGATAAGTTTCTTTTATTGCTGTCATTTCAAAATATCACTCAAGTTATGATAAGAAAGCTGGTATGAATTATTACAAAAGACTTTAGCAATCATCCATAAACAGTTAGCCAGCGATTGAGATGAAAAAGGAAATGAAAAACGAAATGTACTTGCTGTTTCATTAAATTGTATCAAGAAAGTTACATCTATTTCATAAGGGATTCAATTTTTATGACTAATGATATAATAAAACCTTTTCATAGCAAGTACTTCAGAAGGAAAGAGTCTACAATTTTAACAAGAGCTGGATTATCATTTACAACCATAATATTAATATATTAATGGCACCAATTTTTAGACTATTTTGTAGAAGGATCTCCTGATGTAATTTTCCGGTCTGAATTTATTGCTAACAAATAGAGGGGGTTAGTTGTAAATATTTACACTTTTTGTAAATCAAATAAAACGCTTGTGGTGGCAATTACACATTTTAAAAACAGCATCATTCAGATATCCACCTTCATATAATTGCATGTAAGTTTGTTTCATAGCTTTGCACACTTGTAGCCAAACATGTAGATTTTTTGAACACATGCTGACACTTGTCTTTGGTTATCTCAGATATCTACTCGTCAGAAACATTTTATTTGAGTTATTGCAGGCGCGACTTTTAAGTTTCCCTCCATACCGGTCACCCTCTGGTATGTACATGTTACCGTGAAAGACCGAAATATGAGAATGTCGACTTTCACCGGAGGTCAACATTCACCAAATACGTCGGTGAAAGATCGAATATTGCAATACATTCTTGTACATTCGGAACCCTCACCGGTGTATGTCAACAATCACAGATATGCTCTGGTGTAGGTCGAAAAGAGAGGAGTATATGTACACGCTTTGTCATTGCAAAAGGAAGTGTTCCACAAATAAATGCAGTTGTAAAAGCAAGGGCTTCTTGTGGAATTCAAAGTGTCATAATAGTTTTAAGTTGCTGCAATAAATAAGATTTGAATCATATAATTTAGCAAGTTTTTCCTTTCTCATTTTGAATGTACTGTGTGTTTTAAGTTCTTATGTTCTTAAGTTCTTTTATTACGTCTCAAGTGCGTCTTTTCGCAACTGAATTACGGAGAAGAAAATATAATATTCTTTATATGTTCAACATTCACCATTAGTACATGTCGAACGTCGACATTTACCGGTGTAAGTCAGAAACAAGAGTATTTGGAAAATATTTCGGACATACACCAAGCGACTATGTAAATGTTGACATTCACCGGTGAAAGTCGACATTCTCCAGATTTCGGTGTTTCACAATGACATACATACTTAGTACCATGCTTAATTTTTTACTCATTTTCAATTTTTAAATGCTTAAGTTTTCTTTTTTTCAGCAAAGATTTAGTAGTTCATTCACAAATATGAAATATGGAAATAAAAGAATTTCTCTTTCTTTTTTGCACTCCCAAATCATTATGCGAACATGCATTTACAATTTTCAAAAATCTGAAAAGGCATGTGCGCGATGTTATCGTCATGCGATGATTTGTAGGTACTTTGTTTTTTCACGATATTTTCGACGATGATGTTTTTAAACTGCGAAGTTTTTGAACCGCTATATTTTCGACCACGATGTTTTCTCTTTGCTTTATTTTCTTCCACGATGTTTTGTATCACGACGTTTACGCCTTGCATTGTTTTCTTCGCAACGTTTTCGTCCGCAATGTTTTTGGCGGACACCAATAACTCTGTATTTCTTTTGGTCTGGTTGGCCTACAGAAGATGGGTCCTAGCCACCGTAGTACTGGTGGGAGCAACTTGACAACCAGTCACATCTCCGGGTTTCTATCGTTCCCACCACTGTGGTCTCTGAGCACCGGGAGTGTAGACCCTGGTTGCCCAGGGTAACAGTAGTTTAGAAAATTACTCTTTTAATTCTGCTAACATGGGATTAGGACCCCTGGATGTTAGCATGATCGGCATACTATCGGCATGGTTGGCATTATCACTATCGAGTGACGATTTTATTTAAATGTTTGTAACATCCATGTTAATGTCTTATAAAATTGTAGGGATTGTGCTGTATGTAACTAAATGTAACTTGTGGCCAATCATTGAATAGACGTGACTTATCGCCATATCTAAGTTGAAACCGAATTTAAGAAGGATGTAAAAGACCCTTTTAATCAGAACTTAAAATAATTTAACACATGGACTTTCTTGTGCTTATAAACGAGCCAGCATTTATGGCGCAACTCAAAAGCTAAATATTTCAGGTTTGAGACTAAGCTAAATCGTAAATTAGTCCAAACGCTACGGTAAGAAAAAAGCAATGCTGAAAACACACTGCTATAAAAGAATTGAAGCTAGCAGCGTGGCCTTCAGCAGGCGGAACATGCTCTGTCTTAACAATCTAAAACCTTCCTTTAAATGTCAGCTTTAAATGTCCTCTGTCAGCTTAATTTGAATACGCGAAAACTAAAATGAGCATTCTGGCAGAAAAACGGAAAAGGAAAACGACCGTAAAGCTATTTAACATAAAACAACTGGTTGGATAAAATAAATGAATACTTTACAAAATTTAAGTTTTTTATCTTTCATTTTTACCTTATGTTTTAAAATATAGCATGAAGCAGCTTCTTGATATTTACATTTTGTTGATGTTGTTTGAATGTTTTTATTTTCAGTAGTTTATTGATGTACTCGATAACTCGTTAAACCTTAGAATTAACTTGCAATAACTGTTATCGGATTAAGACAAATAATTTATTGTTTTACATCAATCATTTAAAACAATTTTCTCGGTATCATTTATAAATGACATAAGATAAGGACTTTTATATATACAGATTATTTCTGTATCATATCGTATGACCAATTAAAAGACTACGAACGAAACTTTAAGAACGTAATCTGAAAGGTAATATACCAATTTATTACTTTTTTGCAGGTAAATGGTGTCATCCAAAACACTGGACATGGAGTCGTATTTCGTGTAGATACCAGCCCACAGGCTCCGGTCGTGAATATCAGTGGAGGCCCTCTGTCCTACAGTTATAGGGTTCAAGAGATTCATTTACATTTTGGACGCACTGACAGTCAAGGATCCGAGCACAAAGTTGGAAGCCACGCTTTTCCAGCAGAGGTAAAGATAGATTTTTATAAGGATCTAATATTTGATATATGAGCTATTTGAGTTCTGTTACCACTGTTGCACTTTGAATAAGTTCGACATAGATGTCTAAGAAATTTTACGTTTTGATAATAGTTGTAATATTCAAAATTATCGGACCATATATTTTGATGATAATATTCTAGTCCAGGTAAAGATGAAAAACATAAGTATCAGGAGGTGAAAATGTATGTGCGAAGTTTATTTGTTATGTTAAAATATGTCCTACACTTCTCTTGGTTCGCCTACTTCACAAGATTGCTTCAGTTGCTCCAACAATAAGGTAACAGTTCTACCAAGAAGTTATGTTTTAACTACATTTAAAGCTGAGGTGAAAAATAAATCATTTAGATGTTTTACATTATTGTAATTACTTAACACTTGAATGTTGACAGGTAAAGATGAGTACAGTTGACAGTTGACAGTTGAGAGCAGAATCTGGACACCCGTGCGGTTTACTTAGACTATTCGGGTCTAGTCCAGGTTCCGCAACTATCCGGGGCAACGCCTCATGCGCCCTATAAGTGCATACATTGATCCTGTATGCATGCTTACATACTAGTTTATAATATATGCTTATAGTTACATAGTTCATAATATATGCTTACATAGTTACATAGTTCATAGTACATGCTTATATACAAGTAGTTCATAATACAGAGATCTTTCATAATACGTGCTTACATAGTTTATACATATATATGCTTACATAGTTCATAGTTGCTTACATAGTTCATAATATATTGAGCCTGTTACAAAATACATACATAGTTCATAATAATTTTTATTGGCCATAATACATACATGTTTCATAATATATATGTTACCGTGAAAGATCGAAACTGGAGAATGTCGACTTTCACCGGAGAATATCAACATTTACCAAATACGTCGGTGAAAGACCAAACATTTCACTACATTCTTGTATATTCGGACCCTCACCGGTGTATGTCGACAATCACAGATAAGCTCTGGTGAAAGTCGAAAAGAGAGTCTATAAAGTGCCATAATAGTTTAAGTTGTTGCAATAAATAAGATTTGAATCACATAATTAAGTAAGTTTTTTATTACTGTTATTTTATTTTCTCATTTAGAACGTACTGTATAATTAAGTTTTTAACTTCTATTATTTTCCTTTCTTATTTTGAATGTATTGTGTTTTTTTAGATTCTCATGTTCTTAAGTTCTTATTTCAAGTCTCAAGTGCGTTTATTCGCGACTGAATTACGGAAGAAGAAAATATATATTGTTATATGTTTAACATTCACCATTAGTACATGGTGAATGTCGACATTGACCGGTGTAAGTCAGAAACAAGAGTATTTGGAAAATATTTCGGACATACACCAAGAGACTATGTGAATGTTGAATTGACCGGTGAAAGTCGACATTCTCCAGATTTCGGTGTTTCACCGTAACATATACAGTGGGCCGTAATACATGTACATGTTTCATAATATATACAGTAAAAAAATTTTAAAAAAGCACAGAAATTTTTCGGCAGTTTAGAAAGTTAAAATAGTGTTTAACTAAAATCAAACTGAGTATAACTTTCTACGAAAAAAAAAAAAAACGCTCGGCCAACAATCAGGAAGGCAGATTTTTCAGTGCACAAAACTATAAGTTTCGTTTGGGTTTCACTCAGCAAAAAGGCACTGAAGGTGCAGAAATAACCTAATTCACTGTTTTGCTAAGTTTAAAATGTGAAAAATATGGATTACTGGATGGATATGCTTTATATGGAGTTTTGATCGTGTACAAATAACAAGAAAGCAAATTAGTATAATAAACAACTATAAATATATTCAAAACAAAATGCTTAAAAGCTGAAATATGACAGCTATTAAGATGCTTGCGTAGACAGAGATGCAGTTGGGCAACATATTTCAAATCAAATCGTAAGCGGATACTACTAAATAGGAGTGTTATGCTGAAACAATCGAATATGCGAAACAGATTTTAATGCATGTTAAAAACATTTAAAGATAATTACTACCGACAAACCAGGACAATGACATAAAGGAACTATTGGAATACAAAACTGTGATGCATTCTAATGGTAAAGCGAGCAAATGATTTGTGAAACTTTTATTTTATTCTTTTTATAAACTCTTTCCTTATAGTAAAAAACTATTTGCTCACCTTTGACTTTAGCTAAGTGTAGAATCATTAGAATTTTTAAGATGCTTATTATCAGATAAGTTGCTCAAATGGCATGTTTTAGCCAAATTACGAAACTATAGCTTTAGTCTTAGATTTTATGAAGGCAAAGATTTATTTTCTGGCTACTTATGGTATGTCTTAAAATTATAATTTTATAAGGTACATCTCTGTCCTTCCAACATGCCTTCGTGCTGTAACTGTAACCCACTCCGTGTGTATTAGAGAGGTCCACGTTCGACAAGGACATTAAACATTTTCACATTTCCTATTTCAAAAAAACGTAATGAACTACAAATTTCACAAACCAAATTTGACAGAATCTGGTTGTAGATTTGTCACTCTCAAAATCTCGATATTTTAGCTAAGATACTGTAACAAATATTCAGAAAAGCTACACTTATACTGACTGGAATACAAAGTAACTTCATATATACAAATTTAACGTATGGGGAAATATTCTACATCAAAGATAGCTGATTCATATGGCATATCTTAAAGTAAATATAATTAATTTAGCTTATTTTTTGACGAAACATTTAACAGATAAGTTGCAAATTCAACTTCATACATTTTTATTTTCAGATGTTATACTGTTTATAGAAAACGTTTGAAGGCATAGTAATGTTTTCAAAAAGACTTCTTAATAATAGTTATATTATTGATAATACTTTTCAGAATTTAAATATTAAATACCTTGGCACAGCTTCAGTATAGCCCACCCAGAATTTTAACCAAAAAATATCGCCAAGAGTGACGATAAATGATATGATGTGGTAACCCGTACTATTCGCCAAACGCAATGTAAACAAGAGGATGGAATTACGGTTACAGCTAATATAGTAGTCAGTTACATTTATTCAATTTCAATACAAAGTACCGAGATATCCATTTACTCATAGATAAATGCACGTGTCCAATGTATTCTTACTTTTCCGGACGTAGATTTCTCTCAAAATTTATCTCGCGCTGCATTCGCACGGAGGAAATAACATACATTTTTTAATTAGAATTGTACCTAAAATTGATACTCTAAATACACACAATTCGTAACACTATTTTCGGCGATTGTTTAACGCTCAGATATTGTGGAGAATACTTGTTTTGGAAGATGAGATTTTTTGGCTGCATTTGGAGCTGATATTTTTGCGTTTAGTTAGTTGTTCTAAACCCTGCTGTTAGTGATGTTGTAATTAAGTATCGAGAGATTTTAAAAGAAAATTTAAGGTGGAAGTTTTCAAACAAGCGTAAAAGTTTGGGAAAGCCAGGCATTCTAAACAGATATTTCAAGTATAAATTAACAAGACAGTATGAACTTTTTAGAGGATTTTTGATGGATTGTGGATTATTGAAGGATAAAACTTGTTGTTAAAAATGTAAGATACTATGCAAAAGTATCATACATTTGGGAAACCCAAGCAAAGGGGAGATTTTTCGGCATTGATTTTAAAATTACATCCTTTTAACCTTAATCATTTTCATTAATCATTCCTTAATATTTCTTTCTTTTAAAATCGTGTATAATAGCCGTAAATTTATCTCTATTATCCACGATTTCTGGTGAAATCAAAATGACCGCCATTTTTGAAACACGGAGTTTCGTCGAAAATCTGGATGGCAACCATTTTTCAAAACAAAGTATGTGCTTTGGCGCCAAAACAAATTCGCCAAACTTTAAAGGTGGGCTATACTGAAGTTGTTCCAATACCTTTTACAAGATGCTTAAAGCTGTAGTAACAGTTTCCAAAAGAGTATTTAAGAAAAAAGATTATCATCATCTTGTATTCAACCCGATACGTAGTTAGAATTCAATATTATTGCTTGTTAATGACGGTGTAGATTTTTTGTATTATTAGTCTGTTTAAAAAGGGAAACCTGAAACATTATTGCAGCTTTTAGGGGCTAAAACGTCTTAGAAATAAAGATAACAACTTAAGATAGCTCCAACAGAACTACGTTATAGTAGGCTCATCCTTTAACTGTAGAAATGAGCCGTATAAATTGAGAGTTAAAAATACAGAATGAGTTGCCAACAAAAGTTCGCTAAAATTAATTAAAACACTCAGCAAACTTATTCACCGAATAAAGGTTGAAATTATCTTCACTTGAATGCAACAGAATTCCACACTACGAACTGATTCTGCTGAATTACTGGCTTCTGATACTTTTTACATAACTTAACCAAGATGAAATAAAAGTTTCTAGAATATTTTAAGCGATGCTGCTCAAAGTAGCTCTAATTTCTTAAGCAAATTCTACTCCTGAAAATTTCAAACTGGCAACAAATTTGATGGCAAATAATCAAATGTCGTCAGGGCAAATTAGGATTTTTCATTCGATTCTTGCAGATTTTCTATATTTGTGCTATTTGTACAATTCTAGTACATATTTATACAGAATTGTGTTAAAACTTTGTTACATAGACCTGTTAAAAAAACGAAAGTTCAATTGTTAATTAAAAATAATATAAATTATACGAGAAATACACAAAAAATTAGACAAAATGAGACGCAAAGAATATTATATACTAAAATGAACAATAATCTAAGATCAATAAAAATGCCAGTATACAATAAAAAGTAAAATCTATATATATAAAGAAGAATGTCTGTTTTGTCTTTGTTTTCTCATGATTAACTTAGTCACTATTACAGCTATCGTCACTAAACTTTCTACAATTCCTTTCTATGTCTTGAAAAATGTCGACGTTCACATTTCTCAAAAAAAAAAAAAAAAAAAAAAAAATCTGAAATGTTTCAGATTTTAAATTACGTCCAAAGGGGCGTTTTTTTAACGTTTTGAGTGTTACCTTT